AAATCGGAGGGGGGGACGAACCATGAGAGACTATGGACTCTGAGAAACAAACTGAGGGTTCTAGAGGGGAGGGGCGGTCGGGGGATGGGTTAGCTTGGTGATGGGTATTAAAGAGGGCACGTTCTGCATGGAGCACTGGGTGTTATACGCAAATGCTGAATCATGAAACACTACATCAAGAACTAATGATGTAATGTATGGTGAGTAATATAACATAAAATAATAAAATGTAAAAAAAATTAAAAAATAACTAATGTATATGGTGACTAACATAACATAATAAAACAAAATTAAAAAAACAATAAAAAGAATATATATATATAAAATGTTGTAAGTCAGGTATTACTTCTCTAAGAAAATATTGTCTGCATCTAAATCTTTGAAGCACCTTCAACAACATTGGTTTCATTTGACAAAATCAAACAAAACAAAGATATCTTTATTATTATGTAAAACAGACAAACACTTCTAGTTTAATTATCTTCAAAGTTTATATGGTTGTACTTGCCTCAATTCAATGTATGTTATTTTTTGTTAGCTCAGGATGCCATAACAAAATAACCATAGACCAGTTGGCTTAAACAACACACATTTATTTCTCACAGTTCTGGAAGCTGGGAAGTCTAAGATCAAGGTGTTAGCCTAGTGAGGACCCTCTTCCTGGCTTGTAGAAGCCACATTCTCATTGTGACCTCTCCTGGTGGAGGGGGAGGGAGAGGGAGAAAGAAGGAGCGAGGAAGTGGGGTGGAGGGGGGTTAGAGAGAGAGAGGGAGAGGGAGAGGGATCTTTCTTCTAATAAGGCCACAATTCTATCAGATTAGTGTCTTACCATTATGATCTCATTTAACCTTAATTACTTCCTAAAGATCCTATATCCAGGTGCAGTCACGCTGGGGGTTTGGGCTTCCACGTATTAATTTTGGGGGGATGTAATTCAGCCCATAGCACTTTTTATTTGTTTATTAGCATCAGCTTAGCTTAATGGTTCAGTGAATAAAACTTGAGTAATTTCTAGTGTGGCTTCTCTGTGCTTTGATTTTGATGGAAATGTACGTAAGTAGCAATAGTCTATCCGCCTCATGTGCATTTTCCCGTGAACCAGTGACTGAGGCATTGTACTGCAGGTGGCACTCTTTTAAATGTATCTCTTTTCCACACACACACACACACAAGAGTGTAAAACTCAATTTTCCTTAAGATGGCAGTGTCTCCTGTTTTATTAAAACCTATTTAGCTGGATATAAACAAAATAGAATAAATAAAAATCAATAATGCATTAGCGCTGGGAAGATAGGATTTCTTTGAAATATTGAATCTGGAACTCTTTTTCTACCAGTAGTGCATAGCAAAAAATAACTATGCATGGAAACACACTGTAAGGTATATATTTTTTCTCCCACACACAAATAAAAGCCTTGCAGTCAAGCGGGCAGATGCTCTTACTTCCCTGAAGGGGGATATCTGTAAAAAGAAAAAAAATTGAATTTGTAGCCTCTGCAACTAAACATTTTTTTTTAAATGTACAGACACCTCTGTTAAAGAAACTAACACATTTTGTTGAGTAGTTGGAATTCATATCAAAGTTTCAGTGTGTTTATTTTGATTGTAGCATTTTAAATTCTTTAAAGACATGCTTGGGCATTTTTCATGCTTATGGCTGGATTCTTATATATTCATATATATTTGTGTGTGTGTGTGTGTGTGATTGTGTGTGTATAGACAGATTGATAGATCGATCAGAAGAGTTTCTGGGCTTTTTTATTAAACCAACCAACTAGACCCTGAACACTTATAAATTGTAGGCACGTCTGAAGAGGTGGTGAAAAAGTACATATTTGTTAATCCTCCATATGAGAATGTGGAAGAATTTGATTTTGAGGGTTTTAGTTCTAAACACTGAGAACTGGAACACAAAATCAGATCATGATTTTCTCTATTAATAAGGGTGAAAATTTTGTTTTGGAATTTATTTTTTTTTTACCTCCATTGGATGGTAAAATATGTTTAAAGGGGAAGTGACTTATTCTTTGTGTTGTTTCTCTGCAGAAGTAAGACACTTTATAGATGCAATGACAATAAAATTGACCATTTTAAGTGTTATGAAAATAATTTTGCTTCTTGAGAGAAACCATATTCTTTCCCCATTTTGATTCCTTACCAGCAAGAGCAAACCTCATTTGTCTGTAGAGGATTGTAAACTTTGCCTATCCATTTGACAGATGACTGAAGGTTTTCTAAAAGAAATCTCTCATTTCTTCAGTTGTACTTACATCATTCAGGATATGTAAAAAATTTGACCATAAATTCTTTTTATTTGTATTGAAGAAAATAATTACAGCTTTTTTTTTTTTTCCTATCCGATACGGGACACAGCCTTTTGGAGAAAGGAGCTCATCTTTCCTAGACTGTGTTTATTCACCATTAATACTGAGACTATACAGTTTTTCTAAAATACTATTTTTAAAATGTAAGAAAAATGTTGTTTTAAAATGACAGAAATATTAAAGTTCCTTTTAAGTGGCTATACCTAAACCTGAATTGAAGGGGTAAACTAATTTACATTTTATTATCATTCTTTTCAGGTGACAGAAAGAAAGCAACAGTTGGAGAAATGCTTGAAATTGTCCCGTAAGATGCGAAAGGAAATGAATGCCCTGACGGAATGGCTGGCGGCTACAGATACGGAGCTGACCAAGAGATCAGCAGTTGAAGGAATGCCTAGTAATTTGGATTCTGAAGTTGCCTGGGGAAAGGTAAAACCCATATCACTGAAGGTTATTTTTAACACACCAAGAAACACACAGTAATGTGAGTTTATAAGGAACTATTAATGTGCAACAGTGGTGGAAATACAAGCATTATCTTGCTTCACTTTCCCTTTCCTCAGAAATTCATCAGTAGCCCTTAACTCTGTATTTCTGAATCATGGTAAAACCAGCAGGTCGCTTTATTTAGCAAGAATCTCCCCAAAGCTTGTTTAGAATTAGGTAGGTTATGAATAAGTCCTTAAAAGTACATTCATCATTAGTCAGAAAGTGAATCCAAAGATGAGATTCAGCATTCCCTAGCTTGCCTCAGACAGACTGCTTTAGAGGGACACCACCACTATGACCAGGGCAGGGATGTAGAGACTGCAGACAGTTGGGCTGAACAGGACACATAAGAGTAGCAGATTGCTGACATCATAATTAAAAAAAAGTACTCAAGGGGTCTATGCAGCCACTGTCATTTCCACTGCCAAAGAGCCCAGGCTTTCCTTTAATCCAAGCTGGTAAATTCTTACTCTGTCTCTTGACAGCCAGTCAGATATTTTTGTTCCCCTAAAATGTAAGGTTGGGACACTCATAGCATCATATTTTTCTCAGTTGATTCATTACAAGATTACTTGAAAGTGCATTGATATAAAGGAAACAGCCAATATTGATAATGTGTTTCATCTTAACCTTTGCTGAGCCATTAGGCATTAAAAAAAAAATAAATCACAGCTGCACTCTACCCCGTTGGTTTTTTAAATTAGCAAACCCTTGCCTGTATCAGTGAGATGTTAAAAAGATTTGTGCTGTATTTCTAATTCAACAAGGCTATTTAGATTATCCAAAGTTGGGAAAGTTTAATTGCATTATGTAAAATCTTTACAATCATACAGTTCCACCAAAACTGAAAAATGATTTTCTCTATGTAAATTCAGAGGACAAGTAGAGGTAAAATGTTGTTACATAAATATTTTTCAAGTAAGTAGTAGTGAATGATTTCTTTTTCTTTCCTCTCAGAATAGATTTGTTGGTAGAGATAAGATATTGAATTGTATGATTAGCTCAAGATCATATGTGTTGTGAGATTATTTTAGTAGCAAGTATAGAGGGTACAGGCTAAAATTTAAAGTGGCCTTATTTTTTTCGTTATTACCCAAACAAGTATTATATTTTTGTGTGTGATAATTTGGTTTGAACCAATGGCAATCATATACTTAGATGCAGGCTAGACTGCTGTAAGAAATAAGCACAAAATACCATGGCTCCAAGAAGATAGCGGTTTATTTCTATCTCATTTAAGGTAGATAGTTTTGGATAGGGGAAGTAGTTTTGCTCTATGAAATTCTCCTAAGAGGTAGTTCCCTTTCATTTCATTGCTCTGCAGTCCTCTGGGTATTAGTATTTTTATGGTAAAACTTGCTCACCACCACACCTCCCTCCCAGCCCACAAACGGAAGGGAAAACTGGAAGTGGAGGACACCAGCTCTCTCTTAGAGATGTGTTATAAAAGCTCCGTGCATTATTTTACCCATCTTTCACTTGCCAGAAGTTAGTCACATGATGATGTTTAGCTTCCAGGGAAGATGGCAAAAGATGGGTTCTAACTGGGTGGACGATGTGTTCTGCTAAAATGATGAGTAGATTTTGTTTGAGAGAGAATACATTCTGGGGGACATGTAACAGTTTTGGCCACAGCAGTATCACCTCTGCATTTTGCATCATAAGATAAAGGTTGAGAAATACTAGGGCCTCTGAGTGGCTCTCTCTGTTGAGCCTCTGACTCTTGGTTTTGGCACAAATCATGATCTCGGGGTCCTGGGATGGAACCTGCTTAAGATTCTCTCTCTCCCTTTGCCTCTTTCCCTCCCCCCGCTTTTGTTGGTGCTCTCTCTCTCTCTCTTTCAATCAATAAAATCTTTAAAAAAAAATAAAGGTAGAGAAAGACCTCCATCATCTGTTTCTCTTTATAAAAACCCATGTCCTACTGATGCCAGTTTCTACCATTAGGTACTCATAAACAAACAAGAAGGACTGGACAATCCTTACGATTTGAGGATGAAATATAGTAAAAGGTGCAGGGGGCAAGTAGTAGTACGTGCAGAGGATGCGTGAAAATCATCTAGGCTTTCTTCTCAGTCACCCTCCCCTTAAAAATATCTCTGATTGTTCATATCCAGTTTAATGGGTATATTAGTTTGCTGGGTCTACTGTAACAGCGTTCCACAGATGGGTAGATTCAACTGCAGAAATTTAATTTTTCCCTGTTCTAGAGGCTGTGAGTCTGAGGTCAAGGTTTTGGCAGGGTTGGTTTGTTCTGAGGCCTCTCTTCTTGCCTTGTGAATAGCTGTCTTCTCCTGTGTTATATGATCTTCCCTTTGTACATGACTGTGTCCAAATTTCTCTTCTTATAAGGACACTAGCCATATTGGATTAGGACCTACCGTGATGACCTTATTTGACTTAATTGCCTCTTTAAATTTCCTATCTCCAAATTTGGTCACATTCTAAAGTCCTGGGGTTAGGACTTCATCATGTGAACGTTGAGGGGACTCATTTCAGCTCATAAAAGTGGGGAAGCTTTATAAATATAATTTGGAATGCTACCGTAATTGTGCACAAAGGAATAGAGCTAAAAGTAAAGGGGATTTTAAAAATTCTGACTACAATTTACAACTGACTGAGGTGAAACTATGAAAGTATGCCACACAAGAACTCTGAATTCCACAGTCCCCATAAGGTCATTGAGTAAGCCACCTAAGGAGATATTTTTGCATTAACTTCACCATAGAATCATTAAAATATCATACTATCATATAATTAGCTTGGCAAACATTTCTAGATTATTCTTGTCATATTAGAAGGCTTGAGTGGTCTGGGGATGTGTCAGCTTATTGAGTCCATCTGGAAAGTATTTTCCATAAACCAAAGAGCAATACTAGTTTGAGATCCAATAGGAAAAAAGCATGGAAAAGTGGCATTTCTTTTATATATTAATTTACCACTTTTTCTGGATCCTTAAAACACTAAGCTACTAATAATATACTCTAAGACCCCTTAATGGTCAAGTAAAAGTATACACATTTGCATCCAAATTACATGCTTTGTTTAATAAAATCACTTGAAAGGTGCTGAAAGCTTTTTCAAAACTCACAATCATATAATAAAAACATGTGACCTACAGATCTAAAGCAGTCACATTTATGATAATTTTTTTAAGAGGAAAAAAATCAAACTCATACATGAAACCCCATGATTCCTTAGTACATTCTCATTTTACATGCTGTCTTGGTAGATGGAGAACTTGACTCCAACTGTTAGTCTTGTCTACTATTTTAAAGAATAAATGTCAGATTTTTTTTTTCAAAATAAATTGAGTATTCATTTAAATGCAGTGCATTGAATGTACTTGCCAATCATTCCAAGTATTTTTGACTTGGAGAAAATTTGAATATGTAGAGTCAATTTATTTTAAAAGTGTTTCATTTATTTCTACTGAATTTCAGTTATGTTGATCTAAAAATTATATTTATTTATATATAAAATATTTGAATGTCTAAATAAGAATAATCTTATACATCAAATTTAGTTACTAATGAAGTATTTACTTAACCATTAGTTTATTCAAACAGCATACTTTCAAATATATTGACTACAATTAAATCCTTTGAGCTTTACTTCTACTTTATTTTAATTAACGCTTATTTATTGTGTATCTAGTTCCAGAAAATAATTATTTAGAGTAGCTTATAGAGATACATATGATTCATCTGGTCAAGCACAAATAGAAAACCAGAGAAAGGGAAAATTATAGTAGGAAACTTTGCACAGAAATATACCCACAATATCCTGTGGATAGTGGAATAGGCAGAGGAGACTAAAGCCTCAAAATCTGGCACCAAGCTGGGGTGCCTGGGTGGATTAGTAGGATAAGCGTCTGGCTCTTGGTTTCAGCTCAGGTCATGATCTCACGGTCATCATCTCAGTGTCATGAAATCAAGCTCTGCGTTGGGCTCCACGCTGAGTACAGAGTCGGCCTGAGATTCTTTACCCCTCCTTCTCCTTTCCACTCTGCTCCTCCCCCAGTGTGCACTTGCTCTCTCTCTCTCTCTCTCTCTCTCTCCCCCTCTCTCTCTGTCTCTCAAATATTTAAATAAATAAAAATCTAAAAAAAAAAATTGGCACCAAGCTTCCTATTGAGCAAAATAAAAAGTAAACATACTTTTTTTTTTTTTTTTACCATGCTAAGAACACTTAACTTGAGACCTAGCCAGTTAACAGTTTTTAGGTGTACAATACTGTATTGTTAGCTATAGGCAAAACATTGTACAGCAGATCTCTAGAGTTTATGTATTCATCTTGTATAACTGAAATGGAAGTAAACATACTTCTGAGATTCAAAGTGTTGAAATTATTAAAACTATCATTAAAATAGTTTTAATGTGCTAATGAGAGTGTTTTTCTAAAATTTAGATACAGAAGAAAAATTAGGATCATAAATGAGATAGCGCCTTGATTAATATTCTTATAATAAACATAATAAAAAGGTTTATGTTGCCATTTTTCTCTCAGCATGCTTCCATGCAAAACCAATGCCATGAGCCTGACCCTCGACTTTCCATGTCTTCTTCATGAATAGGTATCAGGAGTTTGGCACTCCAGGGTCCTTTTGATAGGCCAACGATGTTGTAGAAATGAACTTTCCAAAACAAAAATCTCTCATTTAGGTTTTACACCTGCTCCAAATTCTATAGTCACATGTTCATAGGTTTTAGAACACATAGCTCTCCCAAAATATACTGAGTGCTATATGAAACATTTCAAAATGTTTAGAAGTACCATCTACTTGGGGAAGACTATAAACTTGAGAATCTCTTAGGTATCTCAAATCAGATTTTTGGTGGTCTCAAGAAGAGAAAGAATGAGAGAACTTCCAGAAGTAGCTAGGATAGGATGGTAGCAAGGCTGATTACCTGGAGACACAGCTGGAAGCAGGAAAAACT